TGTTTCTCCAGAGAACCCTGACTAAGACACTATTCATGGACAAATTGATGACTATCTTAAGTCAACATTGATAGGGAAACCTTAAAATAACAGCTGAGTTGTTTTTGGGTCACGTGTCACCTGTCAATAACAGAGTCCCGGAAAAGCTGTGAGGGTGGGACATGGCCAGGAACCTACGCCTCGAGGGCCCCTTGAACACCTTCAGAGGGATGTTATCCAGCCTCCACGTTTTCATTAATGCATGTCTGTTGTCGGGGTGGATTGAAGCATTTCCTTGTCAAAAAGCCACAACTCTTAACATTTGCTATAAAGCTGCTCGGTTCTGTGATTCCAACCCGGGATGTAACAATTTCTATATCAAGTGACCAAGGCACACACTTTGCGGGCAGCGTTATGAAAGAACTCTGTAAGACCTTACCCCTTACTCAAAAACTATACTCCTTATATTAGATTCCTGTTCTTATTGTACTCCTTACTACAAACGTAGTGGCTTAAAATGACACAGGTTTATTACCTTGCGATTCTGGAGGTCAGAAGTCCTAAATGGGTCTCACTGGGGTAAGATCAAGGTGTCAGCAGGGCTGCCTTCTTTCTAGAGGCTTTAGGGGAGAATCTGTTCGCTCGCCTTTTCTGCTGCTGGCGATGCTTGCGTTCCTCGGCTTGTGGCCCCTTTCTCCGTCTTCAAAGCCAGCAATGGCCACGTGAGTCTCCCTCATGTCCTATCACTCTGTCACTGCTTCCATGCTCACATCTCCTCTGACTGACCCTCCTGCCTTCCATCCCACTTGTAATACCCTCGTGATTATAATACGTGGGGCCCACCAGCTAATCCAGGATAAGCTCCTCATTCCATGATTAGTATTAATAACTTAATCATATCTGCAAAATCCCCTTTGCCATGGCAAGAGACATAGTCACAAGTTCCAAAGTTTAGGACATGAACATCTCTGGAGGGGCCATTATTCTGCCCATTGCACTGCTCTTACCACCCACGATCTCCCGAAAAATTTGAAAGAACCAATGGCATCTTTCAATTAAAATCAATGACATTCAGAAACCTTTGTGCTCCCTGGTAGCCATTATGGCCATATGATCCACTCCCTTGGGTATACCAGTTGCCGACTCTAAACTGATTACTGCAAGGCCTTTGGGGTTATGGGTTTCCCCTCTCCTGTTACTCCAGGCCATGCTATAGGTGGACACGACACAGGGGTCCTAGGAACTTATGTGCTACACCCAGTCCTATCATGGGCAGAGTAAGGACGTCCCACAACGCCATCTTCCTAAACAGCCTCTACGTGATCTTCACTCAGCAGAATTGGGGTATTGGAAGATACGTCAGAGAAAAACTGCTGTCTTGAACCTCATTGAAAGGCATCTTATTAGGAACGATTAACAAAAAATACAGCAGTGGGGCCAGGCGCGGTGGCTCACGCCTGTAATCCTAGCACTCTGGGAGGCCGAGGCGGGCGGATCGTTTGAGCTCAGGAGTTCGAGACCAGCCTGAGCAAGAACGAGACCCCCGTCTCTACTAAAAATAGAAAGAAATTAATCGAACAGCTAAAAATATAGAAAAAAATTAGCCGGGCATGGTGGCGCGTGCCTGTAGTCCTAGCTACTCGGGAGGTTGAGGCAGAAGGATTGCTTACGCCCAGGAGTTCGAGGTTGCTGTCAGCTAAGCTGATGCCATGGCACTCACTCTAGCCCGGGCAAGAGAGTGTGACTCTTTGTCTCAAAAAAAAAAAAAGAAATACAAAAAAAAAAGAAATACAGCAGTGAAACTCCAGGGAGTCAATCCATTTTAGGTTTATATTTTACTGGATTGCTAAAGCAGCAATCCAGATTCCATGCGATCGAAGGCTACTCCAAAGGAGCCCTCAAACTGAGGAATCTCGAAGATCCTCTAGAAGCAGCCAGACTTCACAAGAGAAGACCCAAGACCTCTGGGAGA